TTATATAGTAAATAAAAGAGAGTTTCGGAATAAACAATGATCTTTGCACGCAATTTATATTACATTGTAAATTACATTGTAAATTACATTGTGTTGCAATTGTAAATTAGTTGAATTTAAATCAAGACATAGCTACTTTGATTAGTAACGAGATTATGACTGTATAACTAGTATAAATTTTTCTCGAATAAACTTCTCGTTATTTTTCAAGCAGAAACATGATTTTATACGTCCATCTAAATAAAATGAGATATTTTCTCACAATATATTGATGTGTTACATTACGCAACTAGCAATTAGGAAAACGTCATGACGTCGTCGCATAAAAGAAAGTCAGTCCGTCGTCAGTAAATCGAATTTGCCGAGTAAATCAACCGTGTCGTTATGTCATCGTATAGTTGATCAGCCAGGGTCAGTCGTAAACGTATGTACTTACAAAGCGGTGCACCCGTGACATTTCCAACCCCCGTTCGTTCAGTAAGGAAAGGTTCAAAGGTCGAGGAATGTCTACGGCACCACCAAGCACGTATATAACACGCGATATTTAAAAAAAAGCATACTGTATCCTCCGAACTTCTCTTCAATTTACCAGCCCATTCACCTCTTCTACGCTTTCAACTGTATTTCCTGAGAAAAAATTTCTAACGAGATCGAAGTTTTAGTTAATTAATTAGTAAAAAGAATGGATAAGAGATCTACAGTTATTTTTCGTATCAAACATATTTGATATTGTTTTTTCAAACGCTAGTTAAAGATACGAAATAGTTTCATAGCTCATAGATATTAAGAGATAATCACATTAAAAAAGAGTTAATAATTATAAATTTTAAAAATAAATATAAATATTTCTGTCATTTTTCAATGCTGTTAAAATAAATAAAACTTCAAAATAAAGTCTCGGGATATTTACTGCCTTATATGTATAATAAATATTTAAAAAAGTTAAATTTTAATTGAAAGTACAATTTAAAGAAAATGTTGTATTTTCAGTTATTGATTTAATATCTTCAATAACGTATACGAGAGATATAAACCTAGCTCGGAAAATTAGAAACATTTCAAAAGCTATAGAAATCTCGGGGAAAAAAATCCCCGCGAAGCTAAAATCTCTCATTGTCTCCGAGGCGGGAAGAGTTGCGGTCGTTTTAGATGAGAATGTGTGAGAAGGCACAAAGGACGACGAGCACAGGTCTTCCGCTGTAGTATGCGGAAGGAGATACTCGTAGTTAATCGGATTTTGGACAACTTACCTTGGAGTTTGTGACGTGGTCGGCAGGCACGGATTCCGGAACGGTTTGCAGAGTGCTCCGCATGCTAGCGGACATTGTAGGCCAGCCAGTTTCACTCCAGCCTTAGACCTTCCTCCAACGATGTGTCGATACACCCTCTTCTCTTACGCCTGGAATAAGGAAAAACGTTTAAGGCGATTTTCAAGTGGAGTTAAGGCCCCTGAGTAAGCACTGCGGCCATGTTGGATCGTGACGTTACGTCACAAGCGAGGAGTAATACGTTGAAGTTTCTGGCATGCCATTTGTAAATAAAGAAAAAAATTGGGTAAAAAATTGAGATCGCTTCAAAACGCTTGTAAAAATAGGCCAAAGCTACCTTTACCCTTCCTCCAACGGTTAGTAAATAGTCGTAAAAATGCACTTCACCTTTTATGACTATTTATTGACTGTCAGGGGACTTTTTATAAGTATTTTAAAGCAATCTCATTATTTTTCCCAAATTCTTTTTATTTACAAATGACATGTAAAGAACTTCAACGCGTCATGTCACGTTTACGATATCACGAATATGACGATTATTCTTAATATTTCAGTCAACAGAGCTTTCGATCCTTTTCGGCGCATCAAAGGCGAAAAAATTACGGTTGAAAAGTACGATTCATATCAAAATTATTAATGATCCATATATGATTTGACATCAAACAAATAATTGTAATAACAACGAGAAAATTAATCAAATGGCGTTTCTTACCCCCCTTTCTGAAGAAGATAAACAGATAGAAGCATTTTTAATAAATTCTCATACATTTTTTTTACATATGTTCATACATGTTTATGTACGTTGTTTACAAACAACGCATGTATACTTAAGCATATTAAATTTTTCTTATGCAAGTATTTATCGCATAAAAATTTTGACAAAGAGAAAGAGAAAATGCTCATTTTTGTTTCAACTATTCGTTCATCGTGAAATATCTCCAATTAATAATTAACAGCATTTATTGGCATTAGGGTGATTCCTAACTAAGCGGATCGATAATCTCATTTTCATCCAATTTAGCTGAGCGCAAGCTCGATCTTGCCTGGACATGGCGCCCGATATAGCAACGCAATTGCACTGATTGACAAAGTGAGCTTTATTAATTGGTATGCACGGTAAACCGTGGGCTTCAATTACCACGTCGGTGGTATCCGCGTGGTGCGTGCGGAGCCGGCAGTACACGCACACTTATCATGCGATTGTTACACATATATACGCGCGGTCGACCAAATCATAAAACGGCACTACGCGTGACAGTGTTTATGTGCGGACAGGCACAATGTGGGTGATCAAATGAATGCGACAAACGGCAACGAAAATATTGGCGCTAACGAATTTTTGGTATTGTCACACAACAAGCCAATGCGTATCATAAATATTAGTCAACCGTGATGTTACGCATATATTTGCGTCATAATCCAATCAAATGCAATCATAAATATCTCCTGATTCATACAAATATTATTACAATCGATAATATACGTACTAAAATTTCGTAAAATAAATATATTCTTGAAGTATATGTTTACTTGCAAAACATGTAGTCACTATTACAGGGTCGTCACAAATCCAGGGTGGTTCTCATCCTAAAATAATTTTTCCCTGATTTCTAGACAAATTTTCATAATTTTCCCTGGCTTTCAATAACATTTGAAAACATTTTGTATGTCTTGATATTTGGAAAACGTTAAATATTTTGTTGAGAAATCAATTTAATATAACAATGTAAATTATTAATAATGTTGTTAACACTGCTTAACATTTTTAATTAAGTTGGTAGTATTCGAAAACTGTGTAAGTATGATGTACGTATATTAAACTTTTTTAAAGACAAAAATTTTTATTTTCCAAAAAATTTTGCAAAATTTCCTGTCTTCCCTAACTGTTTTCAATTTTCCTAACAATTCCCTAATTTCCCTAATTTCCAATTTTATGACAATATTAATTAAAATCAACTGTATTAATTAAAATCAACTTTGAAACTCTTTAGTTTCTAGTCCAAATTACGCATATGAATATTTTTATTTCAAATAAACTCATATAAAAATTCATAAGAAATTGAATAACATGTTCAGTAACAAGGCGGTTGATACATAATACTAACTTGTTTTTTTTTTAATTTTAAATTTTACGTTAGACTACATGTAGTTGCGGTAGTCTGGGAAAAGTTAAAAAGGATACGATCCTTCGAGCCGAAACAGGCCAAGCTCACATAAGTAGGCGAGTATGAATCATACCTCGTAGCAACGGACAGACGGAATGTAACATCGGGCCAATTTGGGTTCATATATGTCTGCTATCTCACGGCAAGCGATACGTTAGTATATTACAATTCTATTTATATATACGCGAGAAGTGCGACCGAGCAAAATATGTTATCGATGTCTATGTTCTGAATTGTAAGTCGGAAAATTAACCATGTTAAAATTGCTTTCGCAATACAGCATTAGACACACTATCGAATATACTATTTCGTTTGCGATTTATTAATATTTTAATCGTGATAATCAATCCGATGAGATTAGAAGAAACGAAGAAATATTTATCGAAATTGTCACAATAAATCATGTCAAATTGTTCTTATAAAGATATTTACAATATTGCAAAAAAGATTTAAAATTAACAGTTCACAAATAGACTTTCCACTATGTATAGTATTGACGTCATTGATATATATTAGTTAGATATATATAGTTACATTATTATATATATAATAAAGTGATTATCATATCGCTTTAATTGACCAATAAACTAACTCAAAATCTTCTCAAATTTGAATCAGAAATTTAATTTTATCTGAAACATTTATTATTTTATTTATTATTTGTGACTAAATAAATAAAATAACTAAGCTATTATAAAAATGACTAAGCTCTTATTATCAAATTGAGGAAAATATAATTTAGAATAGTGTATAATCGCATTATATTAAAAATACAAATACTATAAAATCAATAATCTTATGATATTCTCTCGTTTCGGTTTTACCTAAGATTTCTATCTAATCGAGCGGAACAAGAAATCTGCGGAAACGGTTGAAAGGGAAAAATGTCAGCAACAGAGAAAAAGAACGAATGTCTGAAAGAAAAGACGTGTATACCAAAAGGAAAAGAAATACGTGTATACCGGGTGATCCACGCTTACCACGATAGCAATATTATCAAGTATTACATAAATATTATGTGGAAAGATCTGTCCAATATAACAGAAAAACAGTTGTAGATATATAATTCAGAACTAAATAAAATATAACTTTTTAAGTAATTCATATAATTTTTAAATCGATATTCGAATGTATTGTAATTCTTTAAATATAATTCTTTAAATGGAAAACCAATTATTTAGTTTATTAATAGCTATAAATAAAAAATACTTCATAAAAACAATTGCATTTTTTCCAGAAAATTGTTATTAGTCGTGTTAATTTTTGCGCTAACAAATAATGAACTTTATAGAGCTCTTATAATGTATAATACACATAATATGTTGTAAATCGAACATATTGTCGATTTACATGTTCTTATGTTAAAATCTTTTCTTAAAATTTTGATCACATCTAATAACATTAGATTCGAAGATCAAGATGACATGTGATATTATGTAAATCGCCCTATGCAGTTCATACAATTGGCAGTATAAGTGTTAGTCGTGGAGAGTTCGTACCTCTCGGGATTGGTCGAGTGAAACAAGGTTGGCGAAAGTCGTCCCTCAGTATTGAGATTAATAATCCCGATGGGCATTATCTCCTTCACTACGTGACTATATGAGGAAAACGATCGATACTGCTATAAAAAAATCCAGTTAATTCCACGATTACGGTCAGCAATAACAAGCGTAACAACGTAATAAATTCACTGATTTTTAGGAAAATTTACTAAGGTAGACGCATATCTCTTTAAGATTATCGTACGAATTAAGATCATTATTCATGGAGTTTTAGTATTTTAAAACAAAAATCGCCTTCATATTAATAATTTCATTAAAAATCAAGCAGTGATAGATTTTAATGGAAAAATGTAATTCATTAATGTATTTCAACGAATAAGATAACTTTTAATCTTTTTTTTTTTATTTACAAAAATCTTTGTTTGTACTAAGCGTTTACTTCCGACATGATAAATAACATTCGGCGAGAAATCGTTAAAATACACACAAATAGCAAAAAACAGAAAAGTTAATATTTACGCAATTTTTATCCTATCTCGCGCGAATAATAATTGCACGCGCGCACGTGTGTACTTATATAGAAACTAATGAATATTGAATTAATACGTTTGAGAAAGCGAAATATAGTCTCCCCGCTTATTTTATGCGCATTTTGTGCAGCGACACGTGACCACGAATAAGGAATTAAAAAAGAAATTACGGAAAGAGTTTCCTGTATAAGACTAAAGGAATCGCACAATAATTAAAAATTAAAACGTAATTAATTCTAATTATCTAACATAGAGATCTAACAAAAAAATAATTATGCATTATCCGATATGGGATAATAGTTATCCAGTTTGAAGAGAATTGTTAAAACTATTAAAGATAAAAATCAAAATTTATCCCGAGCAGATTACAAAATTTGCATATTTAGTCCCTGCTTAAACGAGATAATACTTGAAGAAAAAGCACGGTATCGTTTATCAAACATGTGTAAACGGTAAGAAACAGCGAAATGATATGAACCGCAAGCGCCGATAACGATTCCAGCAGGCCGTTGAAGACGATCGTAACGTTTATAAGACAAACAACTTGACGAGCAAACGAACATTACCTCACAATTAAACAGAATTAAAAATTGTAACCTATGTGACGTGTTACATAAAAATGCGGTGTCGCCGTTTACCAAAATCGGCAACACACTCATGTTTCATATCTTTAGATTCAATAAATACAGATATATTTTAATGCAATCTTGATATTGTGCAACATACATGTTTTTAACACTGATAAAGTAAAATCAAACTTTCGTCCTTTCCAATAATTATCTCTATCTATTTAAAATATTAACAATATATGTTATATTCTTAGTTCTACATTTATCTATCACTTACTATGATTCCATTTTACATTTTCATATTTTTTTATAGATGTTATCTCTATGTTAACTAGATGTTAACTAGATATTATCTTTAAAGATAT